CGGGTCCCACCACTAGCAGGTGGCAAAGACCCTGGCATTGTGATCCAGGCACATTATTCCAAACAAAATGCTTTGAACAGCCTCAAACATACACATTTAAGGTCAACCTACTTTCCTCTGAAAAACTGTTCCTGGTTGCTATGAGTTGTACTTGACTCAATGGCATCTAATAACAACAACAGTCCATGTCCATCTTGAATGCCCCAAATCACCACATTATTTTTCTAGGTGAACAAGCCACAGAATCACAGCTGAGTGGCCACAGCCAGATCTTATCAGCAAGTGAGGACTTTCTCTTGGTTACTCTGTGCTATGCCCCACCCAGAAACATCTCTAAGGTCACATGCTTCATGGGGTCTATTTAGTCATCTGAAGAAATTTCAGAGTTCTAAATTGATTAACTCCTCTGGGCTATTTCCATGCAACTGGTTGTATAGACTGCCAGTTCACATTGTATGATACATATTCCAAGAAATGTATAAATTATTGGACACTGGTTGACCCTTTCAGCTTTCCAGCTGGCATGCATACAAGGAGTACAGCCCCAGGTGAGCAGTTTTCAAAATGCATGTGTTGACTGACCGAGGCATAAATCACAGTGCATCACTGGGTTTACCAAACCCTTTATAGATAGATGAGGCTTGAAAAGCACCTTCTCAGCTACAAAAAGTACTCAAGGATATGTATTTTAAAATAAAGACTTAAAAGCATCTTCCTTGTTGAAGTGTCTTATATATCCTTTTCCTTTGCAGAGGTAGACACTCTGGGATACTTACCAGGGACACTGATATTAAAAGCTGGGCTAAAGTCATCAGACTCGGCACTGGATCTTGGCTCAGCTAATTTTCTTTGTAGCTTTCTGCAAGTTATCTAATCTCATTATTCTTATCCATAAAGTGGGGTGAATAATATGCTCTTTATATTAACTTTAAAGATCCCTGGTGGTGTAGTATGCAACACATTGGGCTGCTGACCAAGTGATCAGTGGTTTGAATCCCAGCTACTCTATGGAAGAAAGATGGGCAATCTACAGATGGAGGGTTGCTTTGAGTCAAAACCAACTCAATGTAACTGACAGGAGTGGGTTATGTTAACCTTATAACAACATGGGTAGGGCATCAAGTGAGATCTTCAAGAGAATCAAAGTCATTGCCTTGGAGTCTGAACCAACTCATAGCCTCCAAAGATCAATTAACCAAAGACTCCCCAGTGGCTTTGCGGAGGCTGTAAATGACATGGGTGGTTGCCCATCTTTCTCCTGCAGAGAGCCTCCACCCATTGGGTTGTCAGGGCAGCCCCCTACAGACTGCCACAAGAGCTCTCCAGTGAGACCCGAGATGAGGCAGAATTGGAAAAACAGCTATTGTAGCTATTAGCTGTCGCTGAGTTGGCCTCTGGCTCATGGTAATCCCGGATTTATGAACTCTACGAACAAGGGGATCAAACTATTATTATCCTAAGAACACTCAAGTCACCACCAGCAGACCAACTGTAGCTGAGCATGAGATGCATTAATAAATAAGATGAATCCAGGTCTCCTGCATGGAAAACAAGAATTCTACCGCTGAACGTCCACTGCCCTTTGGAAAAGGAACAGAATGTCATCTTTCCTCAGAGCCTGGCATTATTTCCAGGGCCACACAAAGATACTGGCTGAGCCAAGATCAGAACCTGTGTTTTGAGATGTAGTGCATTCTTCAATAACTCACATAAACAGACATTCGGTATATGCAAACTTTTGAAAACCATACAACCAAAAGCCAGCTGTCTTTCAAGCCAGATATATTCTTAGAAAGAAAAGAATAGAAATACCTCTTCATAGTCTTTATTAAATGTAAAATGGAAGTGAAACTCTTAAAAACCTTCTCGCCAGGCTCTGGCATCCTGAGCCAATCTACCCACTCACCCAAGTCTGCTTACATCAAAGGCAAATCTCCCGATGGGTAAGAAGTGATTTTAATTACAACTGGCGCAGTCCATTAGAGGTAACAACTCTCCTTTTACCAATTTGATCAGGTGTCCAGAAAAACTAACATGCCAAGAAGCCCTATCCCTCCTGGCACGGAAGACAGACAATAAATATGAAAAAGATGACTGGCACAAAGTGGCATCAATGATCAGAAGAAATAAGCTTCATGATGCTCACATGATGCTTCTCTGTGAAAGTCTGGAGCCATGGACTATAAGCTCCTTAGATTTCCCAGTTAACGATTAGAGCTGGAAAGATCTAGCTGGTTAAGGGTCTTAAAATGAAACATTTGTAATCCAACTCAGACATCAACATCTGAAAGAATACTAGACAAGATTAATAAGTAGCATTTTAGTAATATCATAATCCATGTAGACTACATTTAAATGTTTAAAAATTATTTCTTCCCCCCCTCGGCACTGGAAACTATCACTGCAATAATAACAACAAAACTGCAAAGCAATTAAATAAGAATCTTCAGTAGACATTGGCATCTTTTGTTTTTAAGAGAATATTTATTTTTGCAAAATTTTATTCAAGTGTATGGTGTCAAATGCACAAGAGTGACCACCACCCCAGCCCTCCCTGTGAGCCCTCCCCCAGCATACTTGACAGAATGACAAGAATGAACGCTGCAAGTATATTTTGTAACCACTGTTTTCCCTACAGCAAAGCCAGTGGGACTGATCACAACGTGTCTAAAGACCACAGGTGCTTTGCAGCAATTCCCTTGTGAGGGACAATGAATTTTCTTTTCTTGGTGGTTGGTTAGATCACCTTCTCTTTATATTATCCTCATGTTTTGCACAGAAAATGTGGTATCTTAAAAATGAAAACACTTTCAAAGCGCTCATAGTCAATGTCAAGTTTATAAACAATTATATAATCCTGTTTTTTTCCAAAGGCAGACTAGAGAATGCATGGTTTTTAAGCATTTACGCATACTGATGACACCTAGTGGTCAAAATTATATTTGAGTTCATTAGTTAATATTCCCCCTGTTAGGCAGTTCCATTCTGTTCAGTAGGGTCCCCACCAGTAATAGTTAACTTGCCATGACAGAGGTCTTACTCATGGAGAAGTGACCCACAAGGGTTGGGTGTCTTTTGTGCTGATAATAAAACCAGAAAGCTAGTCCCTAAACTGGGTTCAGTTTCTTTTTCTAAGTTGCTTGTTGTGCATTATGAGGAAGTGACAGGAAGTGTCACTAGATCTTGCTAGATCTAGGCGATGACGCTACAAGATGCATTGGCCTGAACATCTCTGCCTCAAGGCCTAGAGCAAAAGAGAAACGTCTCTAATTTATTGGAAGAAACAAAACAAAACACCAAAAACCCCTCAGTGGTGATTCCGGAAAAATATATACTATTTCCTAAAATCGTCCTTTTCTTATCTTTACTCCCACCTCACATCATGCACATAAAAGAGAAAAGAAATCACATTTTCTAATCTGGGTCCAGAGGGCCATTGAAGAAAATTAACACTTGATATTTGTGATGCCTAGAATGTACCTATACTCTTGGTAGGCCAAAAGTTAGATATAACAGATGTGCTTGCTTAAATCTTTAACGAAGATACTGAAAAACCACAGGGCAAACTGATGGCAACAGGGACTGATTTGAGTCCAGAGTGATTCTCACTATTCCCTTCACTCATTTCAATTTATTAACTAAATTTGGTTATGCTTTGCTTCCTTCCAAAGGGAGCTTGAGGGCAGGCAATTCATTAAATTATGGAGTTCCCACTGAAAACATAATTATCAACCTGAATCCCATGCAAGGCTATCCTGTCACCACCTCAATAAAGGTCCAAACGTCACTGGGCCATCACACTTTCAACGATGCTAGGGACAAAAACCTCTGTGAAAATGTGCATCAGAGCTGCAGTGGAGGGTGGGGGTGGTGCAGGGATAGAAGCCAGTTTGCATTCATCTTGCCCAAAGCTGATTCCCACCCGAGTTTGAGGTCAGCATGCAGCAGCCCTGACAATGAATCTCTGATGCTTGTCTCCCAAATATATAATTCAGTGACTCAACTGCGCACGGCTGAGCAGATCTGAGGGTGGTGGGTGCATGGGTGGGGCCCTCGAGAATGCAGACACAGGCCGGAAGCACACCTGCCCCCAGACTTTCCCCCTTCCATTCACTGGATGAGGAGGCGGAGTGGAGAACTTCCAGGTCCACACACGAGCGGCAGTGCTGAGCTGGCGCCCGTGGCTTCCACTCTACCTTGACCACAGCAAAGTTTTCACTTGTCGCCCAGCGAAAAAGCAACTCAAGACCGAATGAGAGAGAGAGGTACTTCCTACTCCAACCAGTCCATCTTTAAGGCTCTTTGTTAGGGAGAAGACACCATTCACTCTCAGGGAAGGCTCACGTGGCCCCCAAAGCACAGGCGAATTCCCAAAGGGGAGAGCTCTCCAATGTTTCCAGGCAGCTTCTCTCCGACCCACAGAGTTTAATTCATTTTCGGGATCCTGGTGGGAGGCACTCACGTACCCCATTAGCCTCCAGCTCCATGACACCCCCCCCCACACACACACCCCGCGCCACAGGTGACAACAGAGGTGCCATATCCTGTCTTGGCTGCCAAACAGCTGCAAGGCCAAGACTGGCAGCTGAGACGTCCGGAGGGGTCCCCGGGACCTCCTTGTCTCCCCCTCAAGCCAGGAAAACGGTGGCTGGAGGCGAAGTCCTTCCAGACGTCCGGCCCTGGCTGTCCCTCCGCCAGGTCCAGACGAAAGATGGACAGTGTGGGAGCCCTGCAGGACACAGGCGAGCAAGGAGGGGGTGAACGGACGGCTGCTCCCCGGCCAGAGACAAGGCGCCTAACCGGGCTCGGTCCAAAAGGAAGGGACGGGAGGGCGAGGAGAGATGGACAGAGGTGCAGGGACCCTGGGTCAGCATGTAAACTGGGGTGGAGCGAACAAGCACTGCAGGCAGGCAGGCAGGCAGGCAGGCAGACAAACAGACAGGAGAGGAAACCCAGAGAGTGAGACGTGGAGAGGTGCAGCCGGCGGGCACGGCCCCTACCTCGGCGTCCTTGGCCGGACTGCTGGCCGGGGGGACCTCCAAGCTGCAGTTCGCCCTCTTGACCGTGAGGTAGAAAGGATAATCCTTGGCCACCATGGCGGCTGCCGGGCCTGCCCTGTGGGATGTCACCGCTGACCCCAAGCGACCACAAAACTCCCAGGCGAAAGGGGGACTGAGCTCCACGGTGCCTGGAGGCAGCGCGACTCGCGGAGACAAGCGGCTTCTAGCGTCGCGGAGCAGCTGCCTGATCTCTGGCTGAAAGGAGGGTGGAGCCGCCGCCGGGCTTGCCCAGCGAGGGGCGGGGATCTAGCCAGGCCTCGCCCATTGCGGGCGGAGCGCGAGTGGGGCCGATCGAGCTGTTCCTAGGGGCGGGCTTTTCCTCAGGGGGCGTGGCGTCTGTGGGGGCGGAGCTTTTATTCGGCCCTGCCCAGTGAGGCCGAAGCTCTCATATGGGGCGGGGCGAGCTGCTACAGGGGCGGGACTTAAGTTCGGTCCTCGCCCAGTGTAGGGAGTGGGTGAGCAGGTGGGGCGGGGCTTAGGCTCGGCCCCGCCCAATGCACCCCGGGAAGCGAGTTAGAGTTTGTTAGGGCTTGTAGTTTGCCAGGCTGTTGGTCTCCGGGTCTCCTAAGAGGAACGTGATCGTGGCACGCTCTGGTTCCTGGCCCTGCCTACGTGGAACAGGCGGCGGGTAGGAAAGAGGGCTCGGAGACCCTGGCAGAAGCCATGCAGAAGGAAGAACATGTAGAGAGAAGCGAGTGCTTAAAAAAAACCCACGTAAAGAAAAAATAGTATTTGTTTTGCTTTATTCCCGAACCAGTCTCCCCTGCACACATTTGGTTTTCCTTTTTAAGCAAGTATAATTGACAAAAAATGAAATGCACCCACTTTGAGTGTACACACAGTCCTTTGAATACTGCCAAATGTAAACCACCTTCCCAATCAGGATTTGGAACATTTGAACCATCTCCAGAAAGCTCCCTCGTGCCTTTAGTTTTGCATCCATTTTGAAATAGGAAGAGGAAGGTTAAGAGGCTGCCTGTTACTCAGAAAGCCGATCTGGCACGGTTTGTTTGAAGTATAACATTGCACAGCAATGGTGCACCAAAGTTGGAAATAAAAATATCATTTGACCAAGAGATTCCACTACTGAGTTATTTCTGGTTCTCTCCTGAAGAAGCATCTCACAGTGAAGGTCCAAAGAGACAATTCTAATGTTATTTACGGTGACGCTGTTTTGAGTCAGTAAAAAAACCCCCACAAATTATCCTAGCTACTGAGGGGTGAGGGGGTGTACTTAAATTCTCTTTGCCTATAAGAGGGAGCTCTGGTTGCCAAACCACAGGCACACAGTTTGAATTCCTCAGCTGTTCTGCGGGAGAGAGCCGAGCAAACTCTCATGTGTTTTGCGGTCTCTGAAAACCCACTAGAGGGTCAGCTATGACTTGGTTCCGACCAGAGGCACATAAGGAGTCCTGGTGGTGCAGCCGCTATCTGTGTGGTCCACAACACTGTTTTGAAGGAGAAGGAAAAAACATTGCAGAACAAGCACAGGACGTTATTGTGCACCGTAGAGTTGGAGCCGACCCATAGCTGACCCCCCCAGCAGGTTTTCAGAGGTAGTTAATCGCATGGGAGATTACCCATCCTTCTGCCAAGCGCAGTATAAGATCATTTATATTTTAAAAAATACGACTACAAAACAGTACCTTTTCCTTTTTTTACACATAGAAAAGTTCACTGCAAACTAAGGATCTACCACAGAGATTTACTGGTACTCTTGGGAGTCGAGGTGCGGAGGACTGGGAAGGGACACATGGCTAAAAATGTGGAAAAAAAAGTCTACATTTCTTCTTGTTGTTATGTGCTGTTAAGTCGCTTAGACTCAGAACCCTGCTCTATCCTGAGTGAACTTTATTGCCTCTGACACACCTACGCCCATTACCCCAGTCACTGAGTCAATCCATCTCATCGAGGGTCTTCCTTTTCTGCACCATCCCTCTACCTTCCCAAGCATGATGTTACTCTTCAAGGACTGGCCGGTCACTCCTTGCAGCAAGCCTAAAGTATGTCAGATGAAGCTTCAAAATCCATGCTTCCAAAGAGCAACTGGATTTCACCCTCTCGAGGATGTACCTGTTTGTTCTTCTAGCAGTCCATGGTATGTTCAATACTCCAGCACCACAGCTTAGAGGCATCAATTCTCCTTTTATCATCTCTAGTCATTGTCCAGCTTTCTGATGCATAGAAAGTAACTGCAAAGCCCATGGCCTGGATCAGGCACATCTTAGTCTCCAGACTGACACTGTTGCTCTTCAGTACTCTGGCGAAGTCCCTGACAGCAGACTTTCCCAATACAATTAATTTTTTACTTTCTAGCTACTGGTACCAAGAGTGTTGATTGTGGAGCCAAGCACACTAAAGCTGTTAACAATCTCAATCTCTTTACGAGCATGATACTGCCAATCGGTCCAGTGGTGAGAATCTTTGTTTTCTTCCATTTCTTATAAGGAAAAAATGCATTTGTGTTTATCATGTGGGAAATGAAATGTGCTAAAATGAATTTAAATTCTTTTATCTCAAAAGTTCTTTTAGAAACTGAACTGTTGAATTCCTCCTGCCATGGCTATATATATATAGATGGTGGTCTGGGGAGACAGTGGGTTTTTTTGGGTGTGTGTTTTTTTTTCTCTCCTCCTTAGGTTTGTAGAAGCTAGAGAGAATGGAGAGGTTGAGAGGTTATTCCTTAAAGAGGGACATGATGCTTGCAAAGGTGGAGTGTTAGTAAAGGAGAGCAAGACCCTCAACCAGGTGGACTGACATAATGACTACAGCAGTGGCACTGAGTTTATCAGGGACTGTGAGGATGGCACAAAATAGGACTCGGTTCAGATCTGTTGTTCATAGGGTTGCTTTGAGTTATATTTGACTTGGTAGCACCTAACAACACATCCCTGCCTCAGCATTCTCTCCTTTCAGCTGCATTCAGAACCCAGCACTTTCTACCATCAATTTAGGAAACCTCAAAAAGCTCAGCTCTCGGGTCTCAGGTACCAAACCCACTCCCTGGCACTAAATCCACCTGGTTTAGGAGGCTGAGATTCTTGCCCAGGTTAGCTGTTCCACCACTGCCACACACATAAAGGAGGGGTGGGGTCTTGAAAAAGTGGGCTCCAGTGAGTTGGAAGCCAGTATCCAAGTTATTTCTCCCAAATATGCAGCCAAGAGCACAGGAAGGAGGAACTGGGTAAACAAGAGGAACAAAAGCTCCCTGGAACTTACTGAATTAGTCTACCAATATTACTGAACAAAATACTTTTAAGCAAAACTGTGCTGATGGGGAATGCACAAAGGCAGCCTCCAAGCTTGGCTAAGTGGGCATGGGACGGTGGGGAATTCAGGGAGGCCTATCCCCATCGACACCCAACCAAAGCAACCTGATTAATGTCACAGCCAAAGAGGGAGAGTGAAGTGTTTTACTTGGGGTCCCCTTAGCTTCCCAGGTCACTTGAGCATCTAGAAGCATCCCAGAACTGCTCTTCATACCTTTTTTCTCCCCCTGTGCTCTGACCCATACAGAGCTCCCATCTCAACGACGTGATTCTTGTCATCCACTTGTTACAGCCAATCCCAGGAAAGACTTTGAGTTCAAGTGGCTACCAAGGCAACACCTAAAGCAATGTACCTTTAACACTTAGTGAAGAAAAAAACCAACTGGGCAACAAAGCACAGTGTTCTTCTGTGCTGGATTGGGCATTCTCAGGGCTGAGCAGGCTTCCATGTAGTAATAAATCAACCCCAAGAAAGGCAGGGGTCTTTAAAAAGTTTAAGTACAACTAAGTAAAAACTCAAAGTCATTGCCATCGAATCTGAACTGACTCATACCTGATCTGTCAGATTTCTGAGGCCGAAAAGGGACTGTTAGTGGCTTGAGAGGAGGGATTTTGTCCATCTTTCTTTCTTGGAATTACTGGTGGATTCACCCTGCCAGGAAGATGCTGCTTTTGGGTCAGCAGGGCAATGCCTCGTGGACTAGACCACCAGAGCTCCTTCCAACTTAGAAAAGAGAAAAATACTCATACTGGTCGGTGAGACAGAGGCCATAACTATTATCTTTCGGCACCTCCTCAATTATTGATGTTGTTGTTGATTGCTGTTGAGTCAAGCAAGGCTCATAGTGACCCTATGAACAAAAGACCTGAAGCCTTTCTATAACTATCAACATTTATCAAAGTTCATAAGGCACATTGTTTAGGAAATGGATGCCACTCCAGCTTCCAACAATTACTGAGGAAGAGGGAGAAGGGGAGAGAGAGACAGCACGAGCGAGAGAGCGAACACAAGATTACCAATAAGTAGCAAACAAGGATGGGTCCTAAATGAGTGTAAAAGGAAGGAGGACTCTGAAGTTGCTTGGGGAGGGATGTCTATCTGATTCTTGCAGGCTTCTTATAGTATGAATGTCTCACCATGTTGAGTAAGACTGTAGTATTTTACAAAAATATATTTTTGGTATAATAAGGCTGTGGTGCTGGAGAATAGTATTGAACATACACCATGGACTGCCAAGAGAATAAATAGTTCTGTTCTGGAGAGGGTGTAACCAAGCTGCTCTTTGGAGGCAAAGATTTTGAGACTCTGTCTCACATATTTTGGGCATGTATCCAGGAGGGACCAGTTTCTGGAGAAGGACATTATGCTTTGAAGGGTTGAGGGATAGCACAGAAGAGAAAGATCCTGGATTGACAAATAACTGAGGTAATGAAGGTAGGTGTGTCAGAGACAGTGAGATTGGATCAGGATAGAGCAGGGTTCAGAGTTATTGTGCATAGAGTCACTATGAGTTGTCAACTTGACAGCAAAAACAAGGCCTGCAAACCCAAGCTGGCAATTTTGAGTACATACAAGCCATGCATATGGTCTATGAGACAGTTGAAGAATTTTCATTTTCAGGGTATTTGATCCCATAATTTCCACCCTGCAGCCTAACTTCAGAACTTCCCTCAGGTATAAAGTGCTGCTCAGTCATTGGCAGAATTTGGGTTCTGGCAAATCACCGGTGATTCAAACTAGGGATCTGTGACCAAAGACTATCAAGAGACAGACACCCAAATGCAACCCCTAAGGTTGGAGGGTCAGAGTTGTGGGGAGCCAGTCCAAACCCTCAGCCCTGCCCAGCTGAGCAGCCCCAATATATCCAGCGTTTCCCATCCTGCCTGCGTGTATGTTTATGAGTT